AGACCTTATCAAAAGAAAAAAAATCAATTTCCACTCTCAAAGGTGTGTCTTCCTTGGCTATGGTGACTTACAAAAAGGTTACAAGTGTCTAAATTCTATCGGTAGAATTTACGTCTCCAGACATGTAGTGTTTAATGAGTTAAAATTTCCCTTCAAAATAGGTTTCATAAACAAACTAGTCCAGCCTCAACCGTCTGAAACAATCATGAGCTTTCCTCCTTTTGTCGAGTCTAGTCATAGAATAATCTCTCAGACTACTATCGATACACCTCAGCCTAATTTATTACCTGCTGCAGGATCCTTTAACAATGATATTGGGATAGAAAATGGTATAGTTATAGAAAAAAAATTCCGATGAGACAAATCGAGAAGAATCTGCTGAATGTGAGGAAGAAATTCCACAATATGATGCTAAAAATACAGCAGGAAATGTAGACATTCAAGGTGGAAATGTGATTAAAGGCACAGGACATTAGATGATTACAAGGAGCAAAGCAGGAATCTTCAAACCAAAAATTTACACAAGCCAAGTACTAGGTAAACTGGCAGAAACAGAACTATTGAATGCTGATGAAGCATTGATAAATGATCACTGGAGAAAGGCTATGCAAGAAGAGTATGAAGCATTAATGAGGAATGAAACCTGGACATTAGTACCTCATAAAGCAGGAATGAAGGTAATTGGAGACAAATGGGTGGTCAAGTTGAAGTGCGATTCAGAAGGAAGAGTGCAAAGACACAAAGCAAGACTTGTAGCCAAAGTTTCCTTCAAACTCCTGGAGTAGATTTTAGTGAAACATTCAGTCCTGTTGTTAAGGCGTCGACCTTGAAAATTATCCTAACACTTACAATCTCTAAAGACTGGGAAATCAGACAGATAGATGTGAACCATGCTTTTCTGACTGGCACATTGAATGAAGAAGTTTACATGGATCAGCTACAAGGATTTGTTGATGAGAAAAATTCTAGATTTGTATGCAAACTGAAGAAAGCTTTATATAGATTAAGGCAGGCCCCAAGAGCATGGCATGAAAGACTGAAGAATAGCTTATTAGAATGGAAATTCAGACATTCCATAGCAGATAATTCTCCGTTCTTCTCAGCAAATGGAAGAGATGTGCTATTTGCATGAATATATGTGGATGATATAGTGATCACATGCAACAACAGTCAACAGCTACAAGAGTTTATTGATAAACTCAACACCAGCTTTGTACTTAAGGATATGGGAAGCCTCAATCAGTTCCTAGGAATTGAGGTACAAAGAGATGCAACCGAATTATACTTGACTGAAAGAAAGTATGCTATGGACCTACTCAGAAAATTTGGGTATGATAATTTGAAACCAAGTTTAACACCCATGGCAGTAGGCAAATTAATTTCCAAGACTAATGGAGAAGCTACGAGTAACCCAACATTATACCAAAGTGCAATCGGAGGTCTTCAATATCTTACCCATACAAGGCCAGATATCACTTATGCTGTAAATAGGTTGAGTCAATTCTTTTAAACGCCCACTGATGCTCACTGGAAGACACTAAAAAGTGTATTTAGATACCTAAAAGGAACACCAAGTCATGGCCTTGCTATTTCAAAGAGTGATAGTCTTGACATCACAATGTTTGCTGATTCTAACTGAGCCTCATGTCCAGACGACAGGAGATCAACAGCAGGCTATTGTGTCTACATTGGAGACAGTTTGGTGTCATGGTGCTCCAAGAAACAGCATGTCGTTGCCAGGTCTAGTACTGAGGCCAAGTACAGAGCATTAGCTCAAGGTGTATCAGGAGTTACATGGATTCAATCTCTTATGAGTGAGTTAGAAATACCATAAAAATCGGTTCCAAGAATTTGGTGTGATAATCTTAGTGCAAACGCACTAGCTTCCAATCCTGTCTATCTTGCTCGCACCAAACATATAGAGTTGGATGTTCATTTTATAAGGGACAAAATGTTAAGAAGAGAACTAGATATACATTATGTTCCGTCTTCAGATCAGACAGCAGACCTATTGACAAAACCACTTGCTCACTCAAGGTTTTTGTTCCTTAGAGACAAGCTTGGAGTGATAGAAACTCACTTTACCTTGAGGAGGGGAGTTAAAATATGGCAACCAATTTGAATGAACAAGAAGCCAGCTGAGCTAACAAATTCTCACTACCACTATGGACACTGATAGTTCCTGATTTTCAGGAGTGGAACAAGAAATCAATTAGCCACATGGCATCTTATCCTCTAGAATATTCTTTGTATAGATATGCTTGTATATAAATAGAAATAGATGGAATGAGCCGTGAATCAAGTGACTTTCATTTCAATCAATACAGTTGCTGATTCAATTAGAATTCATCTTAATTTCTAACTAGCCTTGTCTAGGAGTGTTTATAATTCCAATTCTATCAAATTTTGATAGATTGATCAGAGTTTTCGTAATAAAATAATTGACCAAATGCAGTGAGGGGCAGAGCCACTTGGGGCAAGGGTGGTCAGGCCCACCCATGTATTTTCAAACGAGTTAGTAGACTATGTGGCAATGTTTTATGCATTTCCTTGAATTTATCGGCATATTTTACGGAGCTTGTTATGAAACAGATAGTAAGATAATGACAATAATGAAGTAATGAAGAAGAAAATAAGAACACAAGAATTTACATGAAAACTCAATTTTGGAAAAAAAAACCTTGAGCAGAGGAGAACAATCCACTATAATCAATAGTTTTTTATTTATAATATCAAGATTTTAATAATCTCAATTGAGATATAAGCTCTCTATATGTTGTTGAATATTTAGAGAATATATATATATATATATATATATAACAAGTTATGGAAGAACGGAGTCCAAAATCGATTCAAAAAACAAAATAGGTTTGGATCGGACAAGCCTGTCACTTGAGCGACAAGGGGACGAGAGGCGAGCGACATGGCAGCGCCAAGCGATCAACCAAGTCTCGGGTTGTTTTCTTCCGGGCTCGCTCGAGCGTCCAGTTAGTGCCAGGCTAGCAAAAATGCAGTTACTTTTTCCTCCAGTCCATAATTTTGATCTCTCCAAAACCACTCTAATTTAGACTCCAATACTCACTAAGATTTAGGTCAAACAACAATAGCACCTGTTACGGGTTAGTAGATGTAAGCGACATGAAGCA